AGTCTTTGGGATGAAGGGTTCAAATACTTCAGGATGAAGACGGGTTCTAAAACTTTATTCAATAGACGTGGGATGATGGTCTAAAGTCTGTGGAATGAAGGGTTCAAAGACTTTAGGATGAAGACGTCTTCAATTCACTTGGTATGATGGTTTAAAGTCTTTGGGATGAAGGGTTCAATACTTCAGGATGAAGACGGGTTCAAGAATTCTATTCAATACACTTGGGATGATGGGGTCTTTGGGATGAAGGGTTCCAATACTTCAGGATGAAGACGGGTTCAAAAATGTTATTCAATAGACGTGGGATGATGGTCTAAAAGGGTTCAAAGATTTCAGGATGAAGACGTTTTCAAAAATTATAGTCAACACACTTGGCATGTTGGTTTAAAGTCTTTCAAGACTTTAGGATGAAGACGGGTTCAAGCAGGCATAGGCAAAGGCATGCTGCAAAGAGAGGATGTGAAGTTGGGGGAATCGGTTTAGGGTTTAGGGTTTTAGGGTTTAGGGTTTATAGAACTTGTATAGGGTTCAGGTCCAAAGTTTTGTGCGGGTTTTCGTTTCAATACTTCAGGATGAAGACGGGTTCAAGAATTTTATTCAATACACTTGGGATGATGGGTTAAAATCTTTGGGATGAAGGGCTCCAATACTTCAGGATGAAGACGGGTTCAAAAATGTTATTTAATACACGTGGGATGATGGTCTAAAGGGTTTAGGGTGTTTATCGGTCATGGCGTGCGCCTTTATCGGGGCGGGTATCGGTATGCTTTCCCGCCGCCCCTCTCCATTGCGCACGCCATTACGTTGCGGAGAAGCCTACCCCAAGGCCACCCAAACACAACTCTTTTAGGATTTAGGGTTTGCCCTCAGACGCCGGGCAGGCTCAAATATTTTCTCAGCCTTTGCGCACAGAGCCGACGCCGCTGCAACGAAACGAAGCGAGACCGCATTGCGGCCGAGCGTAAGAAAGAAGAGTAGACCCGTTTAAGGCTTGCGTGTGGGGTGGCCCGCCCGGGCCAAAACAAACCTTTGGGGCCGTAGACAAGGGTCTGTGCCAGAGAAGCGTTCGAAGGGCAATTCTGTGCCACGGGCGCTCCAAATGGCTATTTAAAGGCCGTCTTGTGGTACGGGAAGCCGGCCGTAGGGACCCACCCCCGGATTTGGCGCGAAACAAGCTGGTCGCCATTGAAATTTGCTTAGCGGAGGGTAAACCGGAGGCAAGGGCCCCTTGTAGCCCCCCCCCCCCCCCCGCGGGACCATTTGGATAGCTGGCAGGGATAGCCTGGCAGGCACCAGGGCGGCA